TGGAAAAGCACAGGCTCAGGGGTGATCTGATGGCCACCTATAAGTTTATCAGGGGTGGCCACCAGTATCTGGGGGAATGTCTGTTCACCAGAGCTCCCCAAGGGATGACGAGATTGAACAGTTATAAACTACTACAAGACCGTTTCAGGCTGGACATAAGGAAGAATTTCTTTACTGTCCAAGCCCCCAAGGTCTGGGGCAGCCTGCCATCAGAGGTGGTTCAAGTACCTACATTGAACACCTTCCAGAGTAAATTGGATGCTTATCTTGCTGGGATCCTATGACCCCAGCTGACTTCCTGCCCTTTGGGCGGGGGCTGGACTCGATGATCTTCCGAGGTCCCTTCCAGCCCTAATGTCTATGAAATCTATGAAACTTAGTGTCCTCCCTTTACAATACAGATTTTCAGGAGGTGAGAGCCATGTTTGCAGAGGTCCTGGATAGGGCTCTCAGCTTTGTTTTTGACATCCAATATATCTTTAGCACTGGATAAAACCATTTAAAATGTACACAGTTTAAACCACTGAAACAGCCAAACTGTTAAAGTGGCTATATAAATATATATAAAGCTTATTCAATGGAACTATGTAAATGAATGAAATTTTAAGAGTTAGGAAGTGTCCTAAAATCCAACATCAAACTGTTAATGATAAGGAATAAAGCTCCAAGATAAACGTTTACTTGTCCTTTGAGAACAGTTGTTGCAATATACCAGTTTCATCCTGCTGAATGTTTGTATCTCCATGTGTGACCTGAGACACCTTCTAGCTCCTTTGTCTACATGTCCTTTGCTTTGAGCCAGGTGATCCAACCCTCCCCCAGTATGGAAACTCCAGACTCTATGACATATCACAAGAAATAACTTCTCTATATGTTGATGCAGTGTTTTTTTTTCTCAGAACGCAGGTAAAACAGATTGCCAATTCTGCTTTTTTCCCCAATAAACTATGTTTATTATGCCAATTCTAATTACCATGCAATCTAATGGTTTTAAGGCTTATATTTTCCACATCACTGGACATCACAAACATGAAAGCATTTTATACTGTCATTATACATCAATGTTTGCACTTGGTTATACATATATACAGAAATTATTCACACATCTTAACCTTGCTATTTCCTCCTTTCAAACCAACATAATTTTACTGTGAAAGCAGCTTTTTAATAAATGGTATAAGAAATACAGCAAGGCACACATTTTTTAAAAACTTTTTTTTTCATTACCACCTCAAGAAGCATAAAAAAACAAAATGTTGTACTTAATTCAGTAGAATGTCAAAAGTTCCTAATATACAACACTATGTAGTTGTTTCTTGAAGTGTTGCATAGATTAAATTTAAAATGAAATAAAGTGGCATTATTATAATTGCTTAACTTTTAGATGTATTGAATCAGGAGGACTAATGACTTCCTTTTGCTGCAATCAAACAAAATTGTCATTTTAAACTTAAAATAGTTTCAATAAACATATGCATTATACATATAAATATTAAATTTGATACACGAAATAGGGGAATACTGACAAGTACAGTTCTGAAAAGAATCAGACTGAGTATGAATTCTGTGGAATTGCAAAACTTTAGAGAACATAATAGGTGACAAATAGTAAAGAAACATCCAGTTTTAGAAGGGCAGGTCATTAGAGGTAGCTTGGGAGAGGAATCCATAAGAAAGCAAATGGCTTTGCTACAATACAAAATATTCACTGAAATAGGACTAGCATATGCAGCCTGATCACAAAGCCAACATGGACAAATCACATTTGGAAAGAAAATTTATCTTGGGAGTCAGTATAATGAAAGGCAGTGATACAATGGAATTGGAGGTCATCCCAGGGTTTACAGGATGAACCTGCACCTGAATTGCAGCCAACGTTCTAAAAGGAAAGAAAAAAAGTAATAGCATGTTACGTAAAATACAGTTTTATTTACAAAACACAAACTCTTCCAGAACAACTGTAGATAGCTATTATACAATCACATGCCAAAGCCTTTAATTCACAGGCATATAGTAAGTGAACAGTGATTTTTAACTGCCTGAGGTACAAGTTAGTCTAAAAAATGTCTTTGTATCGATGTAGAAAATGCATTGATTTTTTGAAGACTTCATTTCAAAAGAAACAAGGGAAATCATCAAATCTGACCTTTTCCCTAGATCCTGTCCATATACTTACCTACAAACTTACCTTCAGCACATTCAAAGGAGGAACAATCAATAATAAATATGAATTTGCTAAAGCCGAACAACAAAGTGCAGCATTTAGCCAGCCATCACTTACATATGCATCTCAAATGAGATTTCATTATAAAAAAGGAAGAGGGTTGTCACAGAAGTGGTCCTTGAACATAAACATGAATGTCTTCACTGTATTTTAAAATTATAACTAACTGTGCAGACAATTCTAGTGCCAGTAATGAGTTAAATTTTCATATTATAGAATTTATCCAGCTTGGAGTTTAGGGTTAAACTATTCATCAAAGAGCAGAGGCTTATGATGAGGATTATGAAGAAATAACTGTCAGAATACAGCTAAAAGATTAGTGCAAAGTACATCTCTTAGGCATTTCCTAGGAGGCACTCCAGACATGCATTATATGCCTTCCAAATTAAGCAGACATATCTGGATCTATCCAGTTACCTTCTCCTTTGATCTTATTTGCTGGAACTGACCCTTCTATATTTATGGAAAATGTGCACTTACATGAAAATGGTGAAAACATAACAGTAAGTTTAGAAATCAGTGAAAAAATGTGCATAACAAGGAAGATCATATTACATTTGGTCTTGGAAACTTCAGTGTGGGTTTTAATTAGATCTATAGTGAGAAAAGTCTCCCTGGTAGGCTGTACCTGCCTACTATCCACAGATGATGATATAAAATAGCTATTTACTATCTACAAACTTTGTTTTAAAGTTAGCTGATTAAATTTGCTGCTACACAGAACTAGAATGCCATGACTAGGTTGTAAACAAGGTAAGGAAAACACTGTTTTTTCAGATGCCTTATTAAATCTGCAAAGACATTTGGTAAGAAAGATTTAGGCCACTCATGCAGCCCATTTTTCTATATTTAAATGATATATTAGGTTCTGTGCAGTGTAAGCCTCATATGCTATTTTTCTATGTAAAGACCACCTTTGCATTTATCACAATGATTCTCAACCAGAGGGTTGTAGCACCCTGAGGTGCCTTGAGATCTTTTTAAGGGTGCTTAACAATGTTAGCACTATTAGATGTGCAAACATTATTTACAAGATAAACTCAGAAATTTCAAATAAGAATTTATAGCATTAAAACATTCTGATCTGTTGTGGTATTTCTGAACTCTTTGCAACAGAATTGCTTTACTACTTTTCCTGTCATCAAAAATCAAGTGAAAACTAAGAGCTGGCCATTTCCAAGGGGTGCCTCAAGTCTAAAAAAGGTTGAGAACCACTGATGTATTGGTACACTTCATCTGTGGATCTCAAAGCACTATTCACTGGAGGATGTAAACGTCACAACTCCCCTCTGTTGTTCTTCTTATTTTTCACAGCTAAAGAAACTGAGGCAGAGAGGCATTAAGTGATCTGCTTAAAGTCATACAGCAAATCTGTGGCAGAGCTGGGAATAGCAATTAGATAATCTGACTAGCAATCCTGTGCATCAGCCCTCTTTTGCCCCTGGTTCCTCCTGATTACAGTAAATTGCAGGATATTTTGACTATGCTTAAGGACTGTTGGGTAAAACCACTTTATTTTCCTTAAACCCAAGTAATATATTTTTCTCAATTTAACTTAAGTTTAAATTACATATTCTCTACTAAAAGGAAGGAAATAACTTTTATGACTTATTTGTGGCTATAGCAGATAACAGTCTAATGCATTTCCCAGAAAAATACACTCTGAACATCACATAAGGCCCCCTTAATGTATTGATCCCTGCACACTGAATATATGACTATGAATCCTGATCCCACTGGTGAGTCATGGGTCAGAGTGACAGCAAAAGACTGCATGATCTCATATGCAGAGAGGTTGTTCTTTCAAGCTGTCACCTCCTTGAGAAACAAAATCAGCATAGCTTTATAAACGGTTCTGCTGAAGAACTATATATTGGCTCATATAGTAGAATAATCAGTTCTGATAGAGGTATTTTTGAAGCTGCTTATGGAATTGCTGTTTCTTTCCCTTAATGGTCAGTTTTACAGAACACTGATAAAGAATGAGATTGCAACTTAGATACATTTGGCAGAAAATATATTTTCTCCACTATTGCTTTTTATACTCCTATATACTGCAAATGCAAATACTGACTAAAATAGTATAAAATTAGTCAAGCTACATTAGCAAGTATGCCTTTCGTCACCTTTGCATACTGAATATGTTTTTAGGATGTACATATACGATATGATATTTTTTTCTAAGTATTGCAGCTACACATGGAATTACACATTTTAATGAGCTTACAGCACAGGTGCTACAGGAAAAAATAATGGTGTTTGCCATTTATCTTTCAAATTAAATAATGTGTTTTTAAATAGTAACTTTTTTCATAATACACTTATGGGAACAACATTTATCTGTCACATTTTAAAAGATGTATTAGTAATAAATGTAAATTACCTTTGGAAAATCAGTAATTAGGCTCATCAAAAAATAAACAATCTGCCACCAAAAAGATAATCTTTAGCATAGTTAAGTATAATAACTGTTATTTGAATAAGTTAACAAATTAGGATAGATTGCTTCTGTAATTCATTCCCCATAGCATGAGAGATGAAGTTATAGCACCAAGCTCTGGAGCGGGGGAAGGGAGTTCAGACTTCAGCAACACCATATCTGGCAGTAGAGGTATTCATTTTTTCCCTTACTTAAGATATAGAATACATCTTAGGGCCTTGCAAGAGGAAATAATAAAATACATTTATAAATGTCAAGGAAGTAGTACTATATAACAATTAACAAACAAGAAATAAATATCTTAGTAAATATAGAGTGGAATGTAATAAACATTTATTTTTACTGTTTTAAATAAACCTCTTTCCTTCAGCAAAAAATAAAAATATAACATGACAACCTGAAAGAGATATGTATATTCTCTGCATTTCCTTTCACTGTATTATGTGGGTATAGAAATACCTCTATTCCTTATACTCAAGCCTTGTCCTCAGGCTTGATTAACTGTATGTAACCATAGCCAAGTTTTATGAAACCACAGCTGGCTACCATACTAGTGTCTGTGATGTCCTTAAAGTGGATGTCAAGTTTAGGCAATGGTTTGAGCTCCTCAGATGAAAAGTACTATAGAAGTGCAAATGTCTATTACTAGAACTGTCAGTGAAAAAAGGGGCAAGATTAAGCCACTCGGTGTGGTCCATATGGTCTTTCATGTTGATACAATTGAAAAAAAAGACAGAAATGGACAAAATGAACAATTCAGTCAAGGATGCTTTGTATTTATGTTTACTGTATAAATTTATGTTTACTGTAAGTTTATCACTTATAAACTTCAAACTTTTGTTCTCATTTCAATTTTCATGTAGATACTTCCCTATATAGCTAAACTTTTTAATATAATATACATATAATTCTTGATTATAAACTATTTTCTATAATTTTTGTAATTTCCCAGTTGATGTCAGTTGCTTCTCCATTTGTTTTGATGTGAACAGTGTCACTAACTAGTAGGTGTACATAGAGATTTAATTTAAATATTAAATTAATTGGCAACTGGCAGCTGTTCAACAAATATCCTTTTCTCTAATATTACAATTCAAATATAATACAGCGCTACTAAAATGCATATGTGCATGCAAAGGAAAATGTCAGAATAAAGATCCATATCAAGAAGTTTTTATTAGGCATATAGTATGTATGTGTGTGCATAAAATCATAAGGATATAGGCGATAAGAAAATTATAGTGATATAATTTAAAGATTAGAGCATGAAAAAGTTAAATGTAGAACAAAAAATCTTGTTTTATATATAAAAACTCAGATTCCTTGCTCCAGAACTACAGCACAACTCAGAAATGGGGTGAAAAGATGGAATTTGCAGTCCCCTAGACCTTAGTCATTGTGTACCAGTGGCTTCAAGAGGACAATATGATAACTAGGGATCAGTGAGATTTAAGGAAGCCCCAACAATGCTTACTTTCTTCCTGCCTCATCAGTACCAAGAATGAAAATGGTGTAGGAGCTATTATGCTGCTGGAGGATCTCCCTACACTTGAGGAGCTCCTCCTCACATAGCAAACCGCTAGTTTTACAGCTATGTTGAATGAATCGTGACTGACAAAACAGCTGTGATACATACCAGGATCTGTCCTATATAATGCTTTCTATTCCTGGATTTCAGACTAAATTTAAAACTCAATAATACTTTTTATTAGGGATTTATGTGAACCAGAAACCAAGAAATGAACTCCTTTAGACTTCAGCAGAGTTTGGAGTTGAATTATTCATCTTAGGTTCACCTTTACTCTTTATATTCTGAAATGTATATTACAACATAGATAGAGGCAAGTAATATTGTTCTTGTAACCTCACTCTTTACCGTCTTTAGTATTTGAGTTTTCCTAAGGAACCATATACTTTTTTACTTGTTATAAATAACCTGGTGTGTGAATTTTTTCTTAGTCTGGTAATTTTAAGGGCACGTATACACATGGCCGGTGCCTGTTGTGACGCATTGTAATCAGAGCATGTCAGAGCAGACTTGATTGTTCAAATCAGAACGTTCCACCAGCCTTGGCGTCACATGTGTTCAGTATCCTCATGCTTCAAAATGGTGGCAGGGGGGCTTTAACTAAAGCTTGATGCATGAGCTTTAGTTAAAGCACCCTTACCACCATTGGGATGTAGGATGCTGAATACATGAGATGCTGAATACATGACATGCAGCAGGCATTTTAGTTAGAGCAGCTCCCAAGAGCCACCCTAATTAGAGAGCCTCCCCCCTACCCCACCCTACCCCACTCCTCCCTGGAGCATGTGTAAAGATGTCCTCCACCACTAGCATGAATTTTCTTTGGAACTACTTTGTTGTCTTAACTCCTGATATATTGACATCAAGAGATTTGTTAATGCCTTTCCCCTAATCTGGTTAGTCACTATCCAGGGGTTTGGTTTATCTGCACAAACTTTAAAGCTCTGATATGATAACTGTCTCATAGGACACCCCAAACATTTGTGAGGTAAGAAAAAGAAATTTGACTTCAATTAGTATCTCTGATTAACACGAGATAGGTGACTATAAAGGAGTGGCGCACTAGAATGGGATTTCCAAGCTGTATATGACAGAAGCTTGTATCCATGCAGTTTAGGCATTCCTAAAGAATGGAGCTCCCAACAGTGCAACACCTCCAGGCAACAAGCAATTGGTCAATGGTGCTGGCTGACTGAGGTGAGTAAACTGGTGTTGCACTGTAACTACATCAAGTCTATCTTATATACAGCACTATAATAAAACAAAAGCCCTAGGTGGTAATTCATCCCCTTTCTTTATACAAACATGTAAAAATAACTAATATGTGGCATGCATACAGTCAATACATACCTGTCTCTGAGATAATGCATGTGCCAGGGAGGGTTACATTCTATCTGTGCATATTTATGTGCCTTTCTTTGTGAAGATTCAGGAGGTTTTCTTCACACGTGAGAGTTTTAGTGTTCTGGTGCAATGCATCTTTATCTTTTAAGTGGTCTGGCTTTAATTGAAAGTCTATAGCTGAAGCCTTTTCAGCAGCAGCAATATTTGCTTTAGGCTTCTCAGTTCCAAATGACTCTTCTGTACTACTTTTCTTAGTGCCAAGCTTTAGATAATTCATATCCAAGCCTTTATCATGGTTGTCCAAAGTCAGTGAATCATCAGCAAAGTTTTTCAAATTGGTTGGTACATTTTGGTTGTCAGGATCGGGCACACTGATGTTAATGTCATCATTTAAAGAAAAGCCACTACATTCGGCTGACCTTTTTATTTCATCTAATAATTGCAAGTCTTTGTCTGATGCTAGTAAACCATCAGGAGTAGTGTTAGTGACATATGGCTGCTGCTCAACTTGTTCTACCTCAGGACAAGCTTCAAAAAAACATTCAATGTTTTCTCTGTCATCTGTAAAGTCCAGTGGCACTGGTGTACTGCTCTTTTCCTCTACATATTTGGTTACCTCCCCACAGTCACTATCATGGGAAGAAAGTGAAAGATAAGAATAAAAGTCCCCCTTTCTTAGTAGTATGGGCCTGTGAGAATGCTCAAGTACTTTTTCTTTGATTTGTGCTAGTGAAGTGGGAATGGATGCATCACATTCAGGCTGTGACTTGCTCTTCAAGGCTGTTGATGCCATGTCAATTATTTCCATCACAAAGTTGTGCACTGAGCAGTCTTCCACATTTCTTTTATCAAAAGCAGCAGATTCACAGTTACAACATGAATCGCTACCACTGGCAGAAGTGCTCTCTTCTGCTTCATTTGCTCTAAAAGCTGCACAGCAATCAGTATATTTTTCGGGAATGCTTGTTCTGGTTTGTTGACCTCTAGTTAAAGATTTTAGTAAAGTAGCATCTTCTATAGCTATATTTTTCATTTCTGAGGCAGGCTCCTTACAAGGCTTTTTAGTGAAAGTATAAGCAATACAATGATCATCAGACTGAAGATGATTTTGACATTCTTTTGAAAGATTCCTGGATATGTTTGGGGGCTGAAGACACTCCTTGCCATCCATATGTGAATCATCTGAACTATCTGTAAGCACTTCAGAGATGCAACATTCACTTTCAGCTCCCTTACCATCGAGTGAATCAAGATTTTGGGGAGCTGATGACGTTCTAACAATTTCTTCCTTTTGACTTCCTTGAGTGTTTTCAACATTACCATTCTCCATGTCATCTACAAACTGCTCTTTAGCAATCTGCGAGCTATTCTTTATAGTCTGGCTTTTTGTCCTGAGCCCATGACCATCTGATGCATTCTTACTGTTTCCATTATTTTCTGATAGTTTATGTACTGAACCATTCAGAAACATTTCAATGCTAAATGTATCTGTTCCTTTCGATGTCTCATTACTGCTTACATTTTTACTGCGCTGAATTTCATCACTGAGGTCACCTTTTCTCTTTTCCCTTGACAAAGAAAATTTTGGTCTAATCCAAGTCTGCAATTCGTTCTTTATGTAATCAAGTCCTGAAATTAAATTGCATTCTTCATAAATATCCTCATCAGTTGCAATACTAGAGTCATCATCTTCATCTTTGATGCCTAGCTCTTCCTCAGTCAAGGTGAGGGTAGAACTTGAAAGCAAATCACTGTCATCTTCATCATCAGTGCAAGCAGAAGTGCAGGAGACGTTAACAATCATGCTGACATTGACATCACTCTCATCAGCAACTGACCGATTAAGATGTTTTCTAAATGATGCATTTGAATCTGGTACTTTATTTCTATGCAGTACAATGTCTTCAGAGCAAAGAGAAAGATCCTCACTGCTGCTAAGTTCTGTTAGAGAACCAGCTGAATCTTCATTGATTGAAGATGCAATATCTAGAGACAGCTGTCCAGCTAAGGACATTTTTTGAGAGCTATTTTGGAGTGTGATATCAGAGATGCTGCGCTTTATCTTTTGATCTAAAGGACTCTGGATATTTTCTAAACGATTCAAAAGGTCTAGTGTTCTTTTGCTGAGCTCTCCAACAGAATCACTGCTTGTACTTATATCTCCTGAGCCATGATGACTAAAAAGGTCTTCATTGCTTTTGTATGAAGCCAACCAGCTCTCCAAAGAGGTACTACGTGGAAGATTATCAGCTGTTTTAAAAATGCTTGAGCTGAACAAATCACCTACTACAGAAAGAGACTCCAAAGAAGAACTATGAGATAAAGCTGAAAGCAGTTTTGCATTCTGTGTTTCAGGTATCTTCCTAGCACTCTCCGCAGATTTACAGGAACTGGGATCTGTTTTTTTATAGATACTTGCCCAAGCAAGTTCATGCATAAGTGCCTCTGGCTGTAATTCTCCAGACTGATGTTCAGATTTACTGGGTGTTTTATCAAAACAGAAGTCATGAATCGAAGTGCCCTCTTCATGCGCTTTTTCAATTTCTGATTGTTTCATTATCAATGGTAATTTGAGTTTGGAGCCTTGAAGATATGAGTAATCATAAAATGTAAACACATCATGTTTTCCTTGTAGTTCATCTTCCACACAACCAGGACTATGTCGGGTAATACTGTTCAGATCTCCATCTTTTTCACTTAAACAATATGTAGAAGATGTTGGCTGACAAGTATTTGAAAGTATAATGTGGTCTTCATCTTGTTTAATTTTTTGTTTTATCACATCAACTATGTTGCTAATTTGGGCTTCTGGGAACCCAGTTTCAGGGTTACTCTGTGTTCTTTCTGTGTCATTTAATAAAACAATTTCAGAATTGTTTGTAACTTCTGTATGACATTCACTGACTTTTCCATGCTCACTCTCAGAATGTCTGCTTATGTTCCCACTATGATACATATAATCACAAGGTTTTGTCACTGTGGTTCTACCTATTAGGTCTGGCAGTGATTTGGTAGATGAAAATGGAGAGTCTTTACTAATACATTTGTTTAAAATATCAGACTGTGTTAGATTGGGTATCTTTTTCAAGATGGGCATATTTTTTTCCCTTGATAATTCTATGTTATGGAGGCTATAGACCTGGTAGATATGAGGATTAGAGGGGGATGTAATGCTGGGACAGTGCAGAGGACTTGTGTTGTCACTGATGTTTTCATCTTGATTTAGGATATGGCTGCCATCACATTTTTCTAAACCAGATTTCTGTTGTGGATCTTCCTGCTTTTGTTCTTGATCAGATTCATTTAACTCTTCATTAATACTAATCAGCTTATTACTTATATCAGTTTCATCCCATTCTAGTGCATCTTCATTTGGACCATTTAAATCCATTAAACCTGGATCAATAACATTCAGAGACTCCTGTAAAAATGCAAAGATTAAAAATAATTAGAATGATACTCTGAAATAAAACTTTTACAGAAAGAAATGCAATACATACAAGTAAATTAATATAGAACAAAAGCACTTATTTCTTTGGAGTACTTACTATTCTATTCTTCAATTTGTTACTTACTATGTAAAGTTAAAACACACAAATAAGAGTGACATCAATTAAAGTACACCCACAGTCTTCATTTTCTATTTCTTCTATTTTATACAAGAACACTTCTGCTGTTTGGCTAAAAGCCTGTGAAACAGAAGTTTGATTCATTCTAACAGTAATTATTCTTGATAAATCAAGTTAATACAAGTGGCTCAAAGAAGCTTTAGTTTAGAGATCACACTCTATTTATCAGTAGGTCAAAATAATAACTATTAGCACTTGGGTAGGCTAACCAGATAAAAAAAAAAATGTACAGATATAATGTAAATATTCATTCATGGGTTTAAACCATATTTAACAGAAACTGTTATGCTCTCACTGTTTTAAGAGTTCATCTTGTACAGTAGTAATCATAACACTGGCTTAGTTATGGAATATGTTCATTGTAGTGAATTTATATTAGAATTTCTGTTTATTCTTCACTAGCTGATAAAGGCAGTACTAATGACTGGTTAGTATGACTAATGAATGCTTAAATCCTCAACTGTAAGGACAATCAATCAGTCTAATCAAATACTACATTAATTTCAAATATTGTCTGTGCTGACACTGTACTCTGGGAAAGTGCTAATAAATAATTGAGCTAGACTTTTCTTTTCTTTTTTTAAAAAAACACTTCTGTCACATTTCAGTGATATTTGCTATTATGTGTATACAACACTTGAAGTCAATTCCAGATTCTGTTCTTGTACAAATTAACCAGAAACAGATCTATACCAGAGCAAAAAAGTCTTCAGAGAAGGATGTAAAGGAGTGGGGTGTTCGGGTGGTCCTCTGAACACAGGCAAATTTCATCTCCTGGCAAATTCCTGCTCATCTGATAGTTATTATCTTTCCTTCCTGCATTTTATGTGCTTTCACTTAGAATCATAGAAAATTAAGGTTGGAAGGGACCTCAGAAAGTCATCTAATCCATCCCCAGCTATATCATCCCACACAGGACTTTGTCTAGCCAAGTTTTAAAAACCTCCAAGGATGGAGCTTCCACCTCCTCTCTGGGTAACCTGGTTCAGTGTTTTACTATCCTCCTAGTGAGAATGTTCTTCCTAATATCTAGTGAAACTTCCCAACTTGAATATCTAAACTAAACTTCTCTTGCTGCAGCTTCACTTCTAACATATGAGACAGCCTTCCTCTCTTTCTGTAAATCAGTTCAGAAATGTATCTTCAGTTCCTTCAAGAAATCTGTTCAATAATAATATCTCCTCTGGACTATATAATCGTTTGGACTGTACTATCTGCATCTAAGTTCGATTGTAAGTTACTTGAAGCCAGGATTGTTCCTTATTATATGTATATAATAAGAGCTGAGCACTTGCTCAAACAGTAGTCTATATCACAGCTGATTTGAGATTATTCTGATTTAGAATCTGATAAAATTGGGGTATAGTCAGTTACTAAGATACTATTTCTTCTGTACCTTCTGCCTGGCTAGAGTCAGAGTAGTGGTAGTGCATTGCTTTGTGGCTTAGGCAGTAACTGCCAGATCCAAAAAGGCATTGCAATGCCCAGCTGGGGTTACCTAGGCCAGAAGGAGGTGCCTATCTCCAGCTGAGATTCTCAACTGTGAACTGCTTCCTGCAAGTAAACACAAACACTTGCTCATAAAAAAAAGAGATGCTGGAGATGCTTGCTTATAGTACTTCTCTGTTACTCTTGATATTACCACTGGGTATGTCTACACGTGTATTAATATGCAGTGGTGACTACACATTTAGTTTAGTACTTGTAATAACAGGTACTAAATTAAATGCACAGTAACCAGTGCTACTGTGCAGTAGTGCCAACGCACACATTTTAGGTGATGCTACTGCACAGTAGACTAATCCTACTGCACATTAAGCGCATTAGCACAAGTTTTGCCCACTGTGCTAATTTGCAGTAGAATTCGTCTACTATGCTCAAAGTGTCTTGTGTAGATGCACCCACTGAGAAGCATGTCCCACCAACCCACTCCCACTCTGCATCTGGAAACAAGGCAGTGAAACTGTTCAGGGCATGTCCCCCACTACTTTTAAGGGAGCAACAGTGAAGTGTGCCCCAGGATCAGCATCTCTGCCTCCCTTTTTGGTTTGGCACACATGTAGTGGAAGCAGGCAGACAGCATATGCTTCTTGGTTGCCTTCTCAAGGGCATTGGGAAAGTGATATAGATATACCCCTCCTCTACAGCAAACAGCCTAGAGATTACAATGATCATATTAAGGGAGGAGCCCTTTTTTCACTTCCTCACTCTGTCTGATTCAGAGTAAAAACATAAACCTAGGGTCATGAACTCAGGTCCCATCTTTAAGGAAAGTGCCCTAAGCATACCAATATTGTCGACTCTGGGGTGTGGTTCTTTCAATCTCTCTTGTTGAAGCTGTTTCACTTTGCATAAAATAATGAAATATTCACTGGGTCAGAAACAGAGACAGCAGGAGTTTGCTTCCACAGCCCAGTGTTGAAGGAATTCATGTGAGAGTCAGGTTCAATGAACATTTAATTATGTATACAAAGTGGAACAGCTTCAACAGGAAACACTCAGCACTCCATCCCAGTGTAGTTAGAGCACTGGGTCTCCTCCACTTCAAAGTGCTCTATCTACTGAGTTAATTGGTAAAATTAGACTCTTCCCTTCCCCCACTAAAATAAAAATACTTATTTGCTCATTTCTGCCAGGTCTTTAGTGTAAGTCAGTAGTGCTCAACCTTTTTTACAAGTGGGCCAAATTTTAAAATCAGAAAAGAGCTAAGGGAAGCATAGAAAAGCATCACAGTTGTATACTTTGGCATAACCTAATATTAAATAATTTAATATTAGAAATAAAAACATACATGTTTAACAATTTTAGGCTTATTAATACACAGGCAAAAGATCAATATGCTGTAGTATTATTTTAAATTTTAAAAAATAATTAAATCATTACAAAAAATAAGAAGACCAACCATAATATTACACAAGAACATCCAAGGATTCTTTCAGGCAACAGATGGAGGTTGTTCAGGTGATAGATGGAAATTGTGTCCTGAAGCAAGACAATCTTTGGAAACTTAGTGGGAGTAGGACCATGCTCTGCCCCATAGTGTTTGGGCTTTCTTTGAAATAACGTTTTTCCCCTGTGCTGTATCCTGTGAGCATGAATGCATGTGTCTCCACCCTCTTTCCCTTTCCCTTTCCAGATCACTGCAGTTTGCTTCCCCCTCCTCTCTTTCCCCACTGAATTCAGCAGCAGGGAGGAGGGGACAAGTAACACAGGCAGTGCTCAGCTCCTGGGCTCTGGAGCTTCATGAAAGCTGTGGTTGCAGTCAGAGCCTGTGCTGATGAGCTCAGAGCTTTCATGCAGCTCCAGGGCCCAGGAGATGAATGCCATCACTGCTGCTTGTCCCCGCTTTTCCCTGCTGCTGAATTCAGGGGCGGGGAGAGGGGAAAGGAGGGGAATGGCTGCTTTGCTCAGCTCCTGGGGCTCCAGAGCTAAATAAAAGTTCTGAGTTCACCAACAGGTCAGTACAGGTAAATGCTGCTTCTGCTCATAACCTCTTTTCTCCTGTCACTGAATTCAGCAGTAGAAGTGTTCGCCTGTGCTGACATGCCAGTGACAGGCCATTCACACCAGCTTTGTGGGCTGCATCTGACCCTCAGGCCAGAAGTTGAGCATCACTAGTGTAAGATATAGCTCAAAGCAGCATGGTGGTGTCAGGACTTAGATGGCTTTGCAGTCACCCACAGGGGACTTTAGGCCTCTACCAGATTATACAGCAGGATCTCTGCGGTGTCTAAACATCTAAATGATGGACTTGATTCCTGAAGAGTAATTTAGGCATTGCCTGAGTCTATTATGGAAGGAATCTATTATGGAATTCCCTTTTTTCCCTGTGAAACCCCTTAAAAACAGGGTTCATAGCTGAAAGATCTATTTGTCAGATATATGTGACTGGGAGATAGGGTACCTAATATATCTGGTGGCTGGAGAACACAATACTAAACTCAGATTTGCTATTTTTTCTCTTCCCTGAAAGTGGGGAAAAGATGAAATATAGGGTAACCATTGAACAGCTTTCCAATTGTAACACCCCAGGGTCACCTGCCAGCATGGGCCAAATTGTGATGGCTGACACACAGATAAACATCTGTGCATTCACTTTCAACCTTCTGGGCTTCAGGGCCTCAAGAGGATTTCAGGGATTAGATTAAGCCCTATCTAAAATTTACCAAATTAAAATACTCAGTTAAAACTTAGCTTTCTCTCTGCTTTTTCTTGTTACTCCAAACAATCTGCACATACCATTAGAGAGACATCACAACAAAATGCCTGGAAAGGCATGTGATTTTTACTGGCTGAAGCTGCCACCAGCTGTAAAAAAAATTCCTGAAGGCAGGAAATAAGCAGCAGATTCCATGGACTTTTATGTTCCACAGAATCTGATTTTGCTTCTTAAAAATAAAACACTTGGCCCTCATTGGCGGGGAAGATAACCTTCCCACTGTAAATCAGCACTCTGCTGCCATGTTTGTTCTTCAGATCAGATGTGCTGAAACAATAAAACACATAGAGGTGTGACCTCAGGCTATTCATCTTCACTGAATGCTCCCTTACTTCAAAGATTACTTTTTATCATTTACATGTATATACTTTTCTGAGGCCTCTTCTACTCTTAAAAGTTTTACTGGCACAGCTATATTGCTCAGGGGTGATGCTTTTCTGGCTGACTAAATAAGATATATATAGAGAGAGGGTGCATATGCTTTCATGAGCTCAAGTTCATGAAAGGTTATGATCTATGTATATCTTATTTAGTTAGTTTATAAAGTGCATATATCTACCCTGCCTTCTGTCT